AATTAATTCTATGTAAACCAGTTTTAGGTTACAAAAAATAGTTCTATATAAACTAGATTTTGGTTAGAGCAATTAATTCTGCGTAAACCTGATGAAGGTTACAAAAATTAATTCTACATAAACCAGCTTTAGGTTTCAACAGCTATTTCTATGTAAATCAGATTTAGGTTAAACAACTATTTCTACGTAAATCAGATTTAGGTTACAACAACTATTTCTATGTAAATCAGATTTAGGTTACAACAACTATTTCTATGTAAACCAGATTGAGGTTAAACAATTATTTCTATGTAAATCAGATTTAGGTCACAATAATTAATTCTATGTAAATCAGATTAAGGTGAAATACCGCAGGTGGAGGAGAAGAAACTTAATAATTTTAGGATAGAGGAACATATATTGCTTTGAGGGTTACTAGGTGACTAATTTAGTTCAAGGGAACACTACGTAGACTAATTTCTATAATATGTCTACTTTCCAGCACTAGTCGGACGTATTCTTCCAAACAAGGACCTTAATAGGGGAGCATACGTTGGTTCTGCTCACTTTTTCACTCATTTGCTTTGGGCATGTTTCAGTTTCAATTGAATCTGATTTTTTTTGCTGTTTTAAGGAATACATGTCTATGCAGTTTTTCCAAAATTGTGTTGAAGATATATCGGGGCAAAGCTACCTTCTTTTCTAGGTATGAGATCTGCATTCAACTCAGCCTTTTGTGATACTGGTTTATTTTCTCTGACAACTTTTATAGCTTTTATATCAAAAGCTATTACCTCTATTTGGATTTTTTTTTTAAATCTACAAATAATGAAAATTAATCCATGTGATGCCAAGCACATTTCTAATTAACAAAAATAGCATTATTGAGAGTATTATTGACAGTAATTAAAACATAAGCTGTATACAGTTTAGAGGCAGACAGTTATGTTGGTATTTTATTATATCTGTGGATTTTATCATAGCTGAGTATACTTCCAGGATTATATGGGAAAGTATGAGGATTTAAAAGCAATGGTAAGCCTGCTAGCAAACAACAATTAAAATGGGTTAGGAAAAAGGACACGTTAGCTTAACGAGTTCGATATATAATGTCTGTAAGTTAATATCATGTGAAAAATGTAATAATCCATTCCATGTTAGCACATGTTGTCATTTCATATCTTATATTTCATTCCAACATTGTATGTTGAAACTTGAAATACAATAGATATTCCTGGTAATATTTGGTGTATATTACGTAATATTTCATATGTAGGAGATCGTATTATACCAAGGACTATTTATATACACGACAAATGAAATGTTATTGAATAAAAATCGCAGGTCTTAGTTGTTTCACAATAAAAGGCTTCAATAGGTGTGCCAAAAATCATCGGCATAATATCATTTCTACAGTTAGATTTACCAGGGGGGGGTTCTTGTTCCTAAAAGGGAAAGATGTTCAGAATAGGGTTTAATCCATGAAACAGATCTAGAGCAAGCTGAACAGATTCTACACTACGAAGTTGGATAGACATTTTGTTGTTTTTTGGGTAGATGTACTCGAAAGTTGAATACAGTCAAATATGGTTTCATTTCATCACTATCGTGTTAATTGAAACAACCCCCACTCCCATCCTCCTGTTTATCTCCATTTCTCCGCTATTTTTCTTACTTAGGGGCATACACAGAAAATAAAATATATAACATCATTAAAGAAACAGGTATTACTGTTTGGTAAAGTGACTTAACCATTGTGGGAAGGGAGTTCATATAGCCCCATGGTATCATTTGGACCCCAGTTCATAACATCATAACACTATGCCACACCATGTATTATAGCACATAATGTACACCTCTGGAGAGATCAGACTAGCCAGACTGGGGCCACTACAGGGACATTGCTTAAAAAGCCATGAAACAGATCTAGAGCAAGCTGAACAGATTCTACACTACAAAGTTGGATAGAAGTTCTTTGGGTAGATGTACTCGAAAGTTGAATACAGTCAAATATAGAATTGTTTTAATTAAGAAGATAATTGTAATAAAAATATGAAATAATATGTCATTGGCAGTTCCTGGCGCAAGCCGATGGATGTGATTAGTAAGATTATGAGTGGTGTGAGATAGGAGGACAGCCATGCCACTGATGTTAGGGACGTGGACCTGACGTGTGGTGGACGTACTAGTGTCGCTAAGGAAACTGTGGCCAACAGTTACTGTGCTTCTGACCACATAATCTCACTGTTGTATAACACACAGATTGATGTAATACCAGGATAAAGTTCTTGTCACACACAATCAAAATCCTCACACAACATTCTATCCGTGCTGTGATTGGCACCAATAAAAGGCAATTTCTCAGACAGATCAGAAGTTGTGTGGCACAGCAGGCTTCACATCCACGTTTCATATGAAGTCTTTATTTATACCGATTTATTACTCCTATGTTGACACTGACAGTTTCCCAATACTGAGTGAAAAAATATGTAATTCCTGACAATAAGCAATCTCTGTCATTTGGGTAAACATTTCTCACATTGCCATCTAGCAAGATGTTAGATACAAGCCATGAGATCAGGACACTTGAAATATATATCTAACAATTCTAAGTGTTGTTTAATTATATATCAATAAAACATTTCAGAGTAAAGCAGCTGTCAGGAAACGTTTATTTCAAAAGACAACTTATATAATTAATGTCTGGTTAAAAATTAAAGCATATTTTGCATGTACAAACTTCTCTAAATATACCAACTGTCTATAATTACCACCTGTAAATACCTGTCACCTGTCTCTATATATGACCTGGCAAATATCTGTCTATAACTACCACCTGTGTATCTACCACCTGTCTTTTATAACCTACCACATGTCTATAACTACCACCTGTCTTTTATAACCTACCACATGTCTATAACTGCAACCTGTCTTTAACTACCACCCGTCTTTATCTCTACCTTCTGTCTTTATCTACTGTCTTTATCTACCAACTGTCTTTATCTACCACCTGCGTATCTACCACCTGTCTTTTATAACCTACCACATGTCTATAACTGCCACCTGTCTTTATCTACCACATGTCTATAACTGCCATATGTCTTTATCTACCACATGTCTATAACTACCACCTGTCTTTATCTACCACATGTCTATAACTACCACCTGTCTTTTATAACCTACCACATGTCTATAACTACCACCTGTCTTAATCTACCACCTGTCTTAATCTACCACCTGTCTTTATCTACCAGCTGTCTTTTATAACCTACCACATGTCTTTAACTTCCACCTTTGTACTATCTACCACATGTCTATAACTGCAACCTGTCTTTAACTACCACCTGTCTTTATCTACCACATGTCTATATCTAACACATGTCTATATCTACCGCATGTCTATATCTACCACATGTCGATCTAACACAGGTCTATATCTACCACATGTCTGTATCTACCACATGTTTATATCTACCGCATGTCTATATCTACCACATGTCAATATCTACCACATGTCTATATCTAACACATGTCTATATCTACCGCATGTCTATATCTACCACATGTCGATCTAACACAGGTCTATATCTACCACATGTCTGTATCTACCACATGTTTATATCTACCTCATGTTTATATCTACCACATGTCTATATCTACCACATGTCTATATCTACCATATGTCTGTATCTACCACATGTCTTTATCTACCACCTGTCTTTATCTACAACATTTCTTTATCTACCACATGTCTTTAGCTACCACATGTCTATATTTACCACATGTCTATATCTACCACATGTCTATCTACCACATGTCTATATCTACCACATGTCAATATCTACCACATGTCTATATCTACCACATGTCTATATCTACCACATGTCTAAATCTACCACATGTCTATATCTACCACATGTCTATATACCACATGTCTATATCTACCACATGTCTATCTACCACATGTCTATATCTACCACATGTCTATCTACCACATGTCTATATCTACCACATGTCTATCTACCACATGTCTATATCTACCACATGTCTATCTACCACATGTCTATATCTACCACATGTCTATCTACCACATGTCTATATCTACCACATGTCTATCTACCACATGTCTATATCTACCACATGTCTATCTACCACATGTCTATATCTACCACATGTCTATCTACCACATGTCTATATCTACCACATGTCTATCTACCACATGTCTATATCTACCACATGTCTATCTACCACATGTCTATATCTACCACATGTCTATCTACCACATGTCTATATCTACCACATGTCTATCTACCACATGTCTATATCTACCACATGTCTATCTACCACATGTCTATATCTACCACATGTCTATCTACCACATGTCTATATCTACCACATGTCTATCTACCACATGTCTATATCTACCACATGTCTATCTACCACATGTCTATATCTACCACATGTCTATCTACCACATGTCTATATCTACCACATGTCTATCTACCACATGTCTATATCTACCACATGTCTATCTACCACATGTCTATATCTACCACATGTCTATCTACCACATGTCTATATCTACCACATGTCTATCTACCACATGTCTATATCTACCACATGTCTATCTACCACATGTCTATATCTACCACATGTCTATCTACCACATGTCTATATCTACCACATGTATATCTACCACATGTCTATATCTACCACATGTCTATCTACCACATGTCTATATCTACCACATGTCTATATCTATCACATGTCCATCTACCACATGTCTATATCTACCACATGTCTATATCTATCACATGTCTATCTACCACATGTCTATATCTACCACATGTCTATATCTACCTCTTTTATAGGTATATTAATTAAGCAGTTGATAATTCAAAGAATTATTTATGATACTAGCAACATGTGTGTAAAAACCAATTGTATAAAAGCACAGTCTGACTTTCTTCCTTGAGAGTTGTATACAGGCAGTTTTGATTGTTAAGTAATATGATTTTCAGGTGTTGCCGGATGTGGTGCCCACCAGTCCCTACAAGTCCGTGCCTGACCTTGGCATTCAAAGGGTCAATGCTCCTGTCCTTACAACAGCTGCCTTCCAAGATGCACGACAAGTGTTGAAGCAAGTTGGTCAGAACAAAGAGTTCCTAGAGGCAAACCTTGAGAGTGTGCTGCGTACACGACATGAGGTAGAGGTGTACAGTATGCTTGAGAACCTCTACCAGGACAGGTAGGCTTCACCTGGTCAGGAGACATCTATATGTTGTTTCCCAAACTGTACCTCCAAACCTTTCACAAATTTTCAATGGAAGATTCTGTGTGGTGGGCAAATTTGAATAAACTATTCTATACAATGAATTGATGACACTTGGACAAAAAGCAAGATGTTTTGAATTTTGCCAGTTTCGAAAATGAAAAAATAAATAAGGGGATCTTATTTAACAAACATGTAGTAAAACATGGATAACAAGACATCTAAAAGGAGATAATGATTGCTACATCTGTCCTGTAAGTAACATACAGGACATCACAAGGGAGATAATGATTATCATATGTCACAAGGGAGATAACTTTCATTCAAGAGATCTAAAGGGAGATAATTATTCAAGATATAGCAAGGGGAGGTAATTATCATACAAGACATCAAAAGGGAGGTAATTATCATAAAAGTCATCAAAAGGGAGGTAATTATCATACAAGGCATAACAAGGGAGATAATTATCATCAAAACATGTCCTATGGTATCTAACAAATCATCACAGAAAAATAATTATCAACATTATGTCCTGTAGATAATATCAAAGGAAAAAGGTACAAGGATAGGATCATTCAAAAAAGATAATAAAATTTTATATTATTTTTCAGCTCTGTAACAGAGAGAGCTAGACTTCAGCACAAGGTGAATGATTGGGTAGCTGATCTCCGGGAACAAGTAGATGTAAGAACCCACTGTCAATCCTGTACCTGTGATAATCATTTAAATGTGTTTTTGAAATACTTGCCAGTATCATTAAATAACTGATAATAAATTCAGGTCCATGACCTCATATTTTACATAATATCACAGCTGTGAACATATTACACAGGTTTAGTGATAAATGTTTTGTTTAAACTTTGTAAAACTAAATATAAATAGATATTAAACAGCTTATATAAGGTGTTAGAAAGGCAGGTGGAAAACTGTGTGGAGAGATTGTTTATCACAGTTACTGTTTTTGGGTGTGTTGATCATGATCTGATTTTGAAACTCCCACTTCTATGTGTGAAACACTGTTAAAGTCTGTTCAGTAAGATAATAAACTACCACAGAAATCATGTCGTAATCATTTACATCTTTCCTTTGACAACAATTTGATTTTTGTTCCATTTTTTTTACTGTCCAATGAAATAAGAATAAATTTAAATGAGGTTGATACCATTCCAGGCCATTTGCTGCATCCAAAATAATAAATCATAGACTCAGTATTTTTTTAAAGAGCCAGTCAAAATTTTTGACAGAATGTATTATGGTATGGGATCCATCCATCCATCCATCCATCGTTCCATCCATGCTTAGATATCATTCAATTTTAATGAAATGTGGTATACATGTACAATATACATAGGCTGAGGCTAAGTTGAAAGTTGAGCAAAATCCACACATAATTAATTAGCAAACTTTGCTTTGATTGGTTGACGGTTTCCGCACAATAACTGGATGAGTTTTGTTCAAAATTTTCAGTTTTTCTAATTGCAAAATCTGCCAGTAATTAAAAAAACAAAAGTTATATTTTGTAATGGTGTAAAATGAATTAATTATTGGCAAAAAGAGTCAATTTCAATTTCTGTGAGATATGCACAAAGGGATCCAATTCCTATGCAAATCAAATAAAGGACAATGGATATATATTCCTTCGCCTTAAAATGGTTGAGTACAGTATGTTTTCTCCTTTCACCATATGTAAGGAATGGTTCTCAACTTTCCTTAGTAATACAAGACAATGTTGTTTCTTCTAGATTTTCATTCATTTAGATACAATAATCCATAGGATGCGAGTATAATGTTCTGCTCTGCATTAATCTTCTTATATAAAAAAAATAGATTCAGGATGGCAAAAGTGGCTCTGAAAATATAAAAACAACAAAAACATAAATGATCTATAATCCATTATTCTTAATTTATTCTCTATGTATCAATTTTTGTTTTGCCTGTCAATTTTTTATTCTCTATGTATATACCAATCTTTTTTTTTCTGTCAATTTGGAGAGAAAAAAGTCCTATGCTTACCTCTCAAAATTTTAAATATACATTGACTGAAAAATGGTTCTTAATTTTTTTTGTCAATTTTCATCCTATTACCAATATATGTCAGCTGCATTCATCAACCAAAATTGATATAAAAAAAAAACAGTACTGAAATCTTAGTGAAATGTATCCAACCTTTTCTTGGTTGAGAAGTGGTACCAATTCTACAACTTTATTTAAAATGCTAAAGAAAGACCACAAATGTCTTCCTTTTTGTGTGTTTTTAATGCGATTTTCTAACAAATCATATGCATCCAAATAGTCTATATTTAGTTACTCTAAAAACTATATTGATCGTATCTATTACATAGGGCATATACCTTCTCAAAATATCTATTACATAAGAGATAAAATTTCATCCTCTTAGAACTGCTTAAATTTGAAGATGATGGAGATAATGTGTATGTTTTTTTAGGTCACCTGAGCTTTGCTCAAGTGACCTATTCTAATCGCTTTCCGTCCGTCGTCGTCCGTCGTCGTCCGTCGTGCGTAAACTTTTTACATTTTCAACTTCTTCTCAAGAACCAGTGGATGGATTTTTTTCAAACTTGGTCAGAATCATCCTTGGTAGATGAGGCTACAAAATTGTAAAATTGGGATTCCTACCCCAACCCCTGGGGCCAGGGCGGGGCCCCAAAGGGAAAATTAACCAATATTTCAAAAATCTTCTTCTCCAGACTCAGAGGTACTACAGTGATTTTCTCTACGTGGAAAGAAAGATCATCAGGGGCTTTACTTAAATTGTAAATTTCAGGACCCCCGAGCTATCCGTTCTCCCTTGGGGAGGGGGTAAAGTTTACTATAGTTTATATAGGGAAATAACACTTTTGGGTATATATTTTATCCATTTTCAGCAGAAAATTACTCAAACTTAGTCAGAATCATCTTTGGTGAATGAGAGTATTACTTTGTAAAATTGGGATTCCTGCCCCATCCCCAGGGGCTAGGGCGGGGCCCCAAAGGGAACATTTACCAATATTTTCAAATTCTTATCCTTTGATGACATGACAAGTATTGTATTTCACTTAGTTTACATGCTGATTTCCACATCACATCTAAACAATAAAATAAAGCTACCAGTACCTATGATATAACTCAGGTGACCGCTAAGGCCCTTGGGCCTCTTGTTTATATTCAGCGAGAGGTGACAGATGAAGTTGTGATGAAGGAACTACAGAAGAAACACCTCCGACCAATGTTTCCTACAAAAGAACCACAGGTGGCTCCCACTGTCACTAAGAAGTCTTACAGGACCACTGCGAGGGGCACTCTGGGGGCCAGGGTGGATACAGGCCTAAATCGGGACAGTACCAAATCTGCTGTTGGGCCTAGTCTAGGTCGAATCCCTGGGCCTAGTATGGGCAAGGCTCCACGGTTCACAGAGAAGGAAACTAAAACCACAACTATGGCAAGGAAACCAGCAATAAAGGCTAGTGTCTGGAATGTTTATAATCTGTCGTGAGTCAATTAGATAAGATATGTATTAGAGCTGGTCATTTTAATGCAGAAAAAAATAAACAAATAAATTAATAAAAGCTGGTTGTCAAATTCGATTCTATTTCAAAAGGATAACTAGAGTTGTTTCCCTTTGGCTGATTTGTTAGTTGATATTTTGATATTCATTTTGACATTTTTTGTTGACATTAGGGTCCCCCACCCAGACACCCCCCTCCAGTCAGTGAGGAGAACATGTATCGGGTGTATGGGAAGGCTGTCTATGACAACAAGAGAACCACACAAAAAGATCCCTACCTTCACTACCAGAACAAGAATGTCCCCAAACCGCGATCTCCAGGACGTCCATCACAAGCCCTTGATATCTCTGGTATATACTTCTTCCAACCAGTTCCTAGCCTCACAAAGAAAATATAATCTGGAATCTTTGAAAAAAATAAAAATAAAAATTGTTAATGATTGAATTACTACAAATGAAGCTAAACCAGCAAGCCCCCAATTAGGAAGAAGAAGTTAGCAATCTGAAAATTCTGGGCCAGGACCGAACTATCCTCCAGGCACTGAATGGCAAAATAGTCAGAGAAAAAAGTAATCACTTACTTAAATAATGATCAATACTAAAATAACAATGAAATCATTACATTGTACATTTTATAGGAGGGATCGAGGTGAGATCAGCTAAATCTCAGACTAAAGGTGGTATGAAACAGTTCTACTTCAGTCCAGCCACCGGATCTTTTATACCTGTAGCCAGCGTAACCTCAGCAGGTGTGTACAGTACACTGACAGTGTTCATGCAAACACCAATTAACTTTAATTATATATTATACTATAATTTGATTTTTTGAGTCCAGTGTAGAGGAGCTCGATCGACTCCTGTAATAATAATAATAATAATAATTGGAGGTTCTCATATACCGCTTTATCACAATGTAGTTCGTAGGTCGTCTCATAGCGGTTCACAAATTATTGGAAACTACCATTATTTTACCATTTTATCTTATATATCTGTGTTTGTCGTTTATCCTCTGGTGCCACCTTTATGTTCATGTTTTTAAACACATTGTTCTATCACTGTTTCTGGATCAATCATTTGTATCCTTTTCAGCCCCTATCCCAGGCCAGTTGATTCAAATGGCTGTTCCTCTTGGTGGGCCCCGTATGGAGGGAGGTTTGACAGCTAAATTGACAACCTCTGGCCCTGTCACCTCTACCCCTGTGCCCCGTCCTCAAGTCACAGCCTCCAGAAATGTGGCCCTCGTGTCTGTACCGTCAGGGGAGGAGGAGGAACAGATCAGCCCGCAGCCTGAACTGGCCAAACAGGTACAACACTGGTCCCTTGATGTGATGTACCAGGGATTGTTATCTTTGAAAACAGACAAATTGCCTTCCAATAGAAGGTTAACAATACGTTGACCTTTCAATATCTTTTGGTAGATGTCATATCATAGTAATTTGTCAATAGTAGTTCATCAATTGACTCGACTGGTGTAAGTTTCTATAATTTGTTTATAAATACATTCAACCCTATTTCAAAATGATGGTCTAAGGCATTTTGTTTATGCTTTGGTCTGATATAGCACAAAAAGAATATCACAAAACAAGTGATAAACAACAATAACTCCAAAACATGAGAGATTAATTTATTAAAAACTCATAGCATGTTTTAACTTCAATCAGAAATATAATCTATCACAAATTGAGAAATTGGATCTGACCCTAATATATGTACAATTTTTAACAAACTTTTAGTCTCTCTCCAAACTTAAGGAGCTGAGGAATTCAGTATCTGAAAATAAAAAATCCATAGTTACATTTGATTATTTCATTTTGAATGTTCCCTATTAATAGGTTTTACTATGTGTAGGTGAATCAAAGTAAAACCCTGCTAGCTTGTTTTTAATGAAACAAAAATAAACCCACTGTTGTTGTGTTTTGTTGACCATCAGGTGTTACCACCGGTGGACATTGACACTGACCTGTCTGAGGAGTCGTTCGTGAGGAGTAAGACCGGAGAGGTCCACCTTAAGTCACCCTCTAAGACCCACTTTGAGGTGACGTTCCACGAGGACCTGCAAACAGGGGCCACACCAAAGGACTGGAGGAATCAGGTACAGCACTCTCTCTGTATATTTATATACTGTACAGGAAAATTATCTAAAGAGAGTCGTAATACGGTAACATAAAGGTCGGAACCATGTCACTGTTAAAGCCAAAGTACAGTAGCAGAAATTTATGAGATGCTGTTAAGTTTCTTTATTTCACTGAGTTAACATTTTGCTGTCTAGAAATATTTTCACATAGCACCAACAAATGTATTTATTTTCATTCATCGACTAGTCATTTAATCCAACAGTATTTTCACAATGAACAAGAGAACATTATCTTTGTTTTGGATTCAGTTATTTCTTGACTATGTTCATTTCATTTAAAGATCCCTTATATGTGAATGTGCAAAACGAAAATAAAAAGTGATCAAACTCTTATATTTCCTAAATACGCATATCAATAAAGATTGAAATTAGCTTTTTTTGAAAAACAGTTCTGTGTACTGAGTGCTACAAAGAACATATTTCATCTTTTGATCATGCTACATACATATTGTTATTTCATCTTTACTATTGTCTAAGCCTTTCATTGTTTCTCTTTGTACTACCTAAGCCTATATATATACAATCAACCATTTATACTACATGGCCCAGCTTTGCCTTGTGTTAATGGGTTGTTAACATAATATCAAACATAAAAACTAAACTGTTATCTACTGCTTGGTCACTGCTGTTCCTCTATATGTCTAGGCCACCTTGGACGACCTTTCTGAGGACCTGTCCCCGGAGACAGCGCCGGGCCTCGCCCTGCCTGGGTACTGTGCCCCATCCCCACCACCAGAACCAGTGGAGATACCAGCCTTCCCACCGATGGTATCAGGGGCAGAGAAACTGGCCCAAGCCTCAGACCTCATTGCTGCAGACATTAAAAGTCGGGACTTGCTGGAGAACAAAGCCGCAGAATGGTAATAGTCTCGACAGGGGAGTGGGCATGTGGTAGACATGAAACAAAACCACAAGCTAGAATGGTCTTTGTTACCATATGAGAAAAGTAACAAAAATTTAAAAGGAAAAATAATTTTCAATCCTGTATATACATGTAGTAAAAAAGGGTTGTAAGATTTTCCACCTTAAGCATCAATTCACATGCTTGTTTTTTTTAAATATTTTGTTATGTTTTCTAAATATATCTACATAACATTTTTTTGATATACTTTGTGAATCTAACTTTAGTGATACAGCCAGTTTTCAGGTCACACAATAAAAGGTTATTACATACCAGTTGAGTTTCAGGCCATACCACATTTAAAGTTTAAGTATCAAATTGAACGTATGACGGTACAAGGATGTTGTACAAAACAAAACACAAAACTAGTAGACCATGTGAAAAGCTTTTTGATATGCCTTTTGCCATTAGGTGAAAAGCCCTAATTTTCTAGTCACATTAACACCTTATAGTATGTAGCAAAGGTGTAACAAAACAAAAACATGGATGTATACACAGAGTGATTTCTTTCTATCCCCCACACCTACATGGGTGTGTGTGTGTGGGGGGGGGGGGGGGGGGGGGGGGGGGGGGGGGGGGGGGAGCATAGCAACAACTTATTCTACCATGCTTCATCAGCATCTGAAACTGAAACGTATGACTGTGTTTGATAGGGAAATGACAATTTTTTACAGGATAGAGCATGAGATTATGGCCCACATCATATCAGAGTTATACCCCCTGAAGCCAGAGAAACCTCGGGAGTTGGACCATGTGGTGTATGAGGAATCAGAAGACAGCATGGCTGACGACCGGGAACAATCCATGTTCAGTAAGTCTCTCCAGCTGTCAGTCATCATTGTCTTGTTACAAGACTCTGGCCATCCAGTTTTTGCATTTACCAAAACAAACACATTACCATTGTACTTTGCAAAACAGAGTTTCATTCAGTTAGGAAATGTTTCAAAAATAACCGGTATGTTTTGACAATGGAAGTTTTGCCTCTTATCACATCTGGTAATACAATTGTAAAATATTTGTTCACATTACACGAACTAATAAAATAGTAGAATGGGGGGGGGGTGAGAAAATGTGAACACTCCTTAGCATTTTGTTTATTTGTAAATGTGAATCGTTTTAAGTTTATATTTGTTACTCATTATTTATAGCTGTATTAGTCCTAGCTGAAATCCAGCAAAAACTTGAATAGAATGAAAACATGCCAGCATGTTCTTGTTTACAACAGTTGAAAATAATTACTACTGCTGTAAAGATAAGGCAATGTTGACAACTCTCTAATGTTAGCTTTGTCTGACTACAGAATGAACATCAGTGAATGTACAGTGCAGTGTATTTAAAGATACATGATAACTACTACATGGTACTTTGACAAGAACAATTGCACATATTTAGAGGATTGGTTTAGTGTTTATTTTAAAAAAAAAAAAAAATTCAACTGCATTGACAGATTGTAAGAAACATGAACAGCATTGTGTCTTTAGTGTTCGAAATGTGAAACACTGTTGAATCATCATCATCATCCTCTAGTCCATTCTACCTGTGTTACAGTGATGGACGCCATCGGTCGTGATGGTCTCCAGATGTTTGTGGACATGGGTCAGCCTGTGGATAGCCCCCTGGTGGATGCTCTCATCAAAGAGGTCCTACTGGAGAAAGTCACCACACTGCTAGGTCAGAGGCCAGGGGATGAGACAACTGTACAGAAAGAAGCCACGGAGGGCAGAACCGAGGTCAAACTTGGGGCCTCCATGAAGGGGCATGACACTGGGAGAGTAGCCACTGGCATCTCCCCTGAGGTACATAATAGGAGGGGATCAAACGAAACACTCAAACTTGTCCTCAGAAAGATCTGATTGGTACCAAAACAATAACGAAAACAAATTTTAAAAATGTATCTATTTCTAACTGTTACTTGTGATTGTATGTTATTACCAGAATAAGACATTTCTATGTAACTTACTTTAATTGCATGATAGCCAAATTATAAGATAAAAACAGAGTTATGATAAAACTAATCCCACCCTAGGATGAGTACGCAGGGATGTTAAGGACCCCAGAGCCGACGCCCAAAGCCAGCCCAATATCCTCTCCAGTGAGGGTCCTGTCTCCGCCTGTAACCCCTCCAAGCTCCCCACCAGTCCTGGCTCCATCAAAGTTTGTCCAAGAGCCACGAGTGGTACCACTGGAATTGGAGCCAGAGGATGTCACCGAGTCCATTGATATCAGTGAGGAGATCCGGGCACTGAGAGGTAGGGAGGGAATGTTGTGGATTTTAGCCTGTGAACAATTATCAGGACGCATAGATATACTGTGTTGTAATAGAAAAATGATTACAGTCTTTGAAAGAAAACATTCATTTTGCTCCATCTAAATCACATTTGAATTAAACATCCTTATTAGCGGCTATAGGCTACTCTCATCACTCATATCAATCTATTTACATGTATCTTTCTTACATCGTTAAGGAACACAATTATTTCTAAACTGATGAAACAACTGGCTTTATGTTACAGAGAAGCTGGTGCCTGTTGGAGGGGAGTCTAGAGAGGCTATACATGATGTGGAAACACCAACTCCTTCCCCAGTCCCAGAGCCACTCCAGGAAGAGAAGGAAGAACGACCCCTGACTCCACCTCTGCCTTCCCCACGCAGACCCCCAACACAGCCAGTCCTACATGTAATGTACTTCTCAATGATAATGATAATGTTTCCACATTCCCTCTCTTCACACAGACAACTGGGAACATTTTGCTGCAGTTTAATTTTCAACTTTTTTCGCCCTCTAAAAATGAGGGCGAATTTATCATTACAGCAGGCATTAGTGAACAACATAATTAATACATTAAATTTGAAAGTCGAAATTCACACTGGGCAAATTTGGGTTTCACAGGCAAAAGGCGAAAGTGTGATTGGGCAAATATTTCCTAGTATACAGTACCACACAGCCCCCTCCCTGTAACATAATTTGAGTTCAGATAAAGATGACTGACCTTTTCCTGCTACAGGTACCTGTGGCTGTAGAGGAACCCCCAGCCCCTGTTCCTGTCCCTGCCCCTCAGCAAGAGAAGATGTTGGATGTTGTGCCTAGCCCCCAGCCTTGGGGTGATCCCGAGTCTCCGCTTCCAGAGGAAAACCCGGACTTCCGAGATGACTATATGGATGATGGAGCCAACCAACATAAACCTTAGTAAGTACACGATTGATCAGTGTTTCCTGTACTCATCATACATCAGTAAAACACATTCATAAATAACCCTGAGAGACCTAATCACTACCAGTAATTGTTCAGTAATGGCTAAGCTTCTGTGTTTTGTACCTAATAGTGCCCTGTCTGTCGCCCCTGCGGATGAAAGCCTGGCCTTCCCTCTGGAGCATGTCCCGTCACCACCTCCAAAGTCACCAGTTCGGAGACTTTCCCCCAGTCCCACTCCTTCCGAAACAGAAACAACTTCCATCATGTCGTCTGTGTCGGACACGTACAACATGAGTGTGTCCGAGGGACAGTGGCTCCTGTCCAAGTCCGAGGGAGAGATGGCTGACTTTAACCTGGACGAAGGTAAAACCCAAACCTGTACAAAACTTAATACAGAAATTGATTATTTTCAAATACAAATTATCATAATTCAATGTATGATATCGTTTTCTTTATAATACATGTACAGTGTATTGAACTATAAGATTGATGTATATTACAACATTGTATGTTCACATCCTTTGAATCTAATACTGTTTAAATTTTAATGGCTCTATCACATTGCTATTTTATACGTGTAAATTTATCAGCAATTGCAATGTAAACATAGAGAGTGCACATGTGTGTTGATAGCAAAGTGCTATAAACTGGATACTTATTTGGTAAAATTAACACATTGTTTATACACTATACCATACACTGTACCTAACACTGTCCACTTATATATAAATAATGTCTGTGGTATTCCTGGTCCACAGCTGCCCTCAAGCGAATGGCCATGCAAGCACGTCAGACTGGTGACATCAGTACTGCCAGTACATTCAGAGACGCAAGTGAACTAGAGGTAAGACCAGTAAGACAAAATTTAATTGTGTAATAACTTCAATGATTCTGACGCAACTTAATTGTGTAATAACTTAAATGTCTTTGACACAACAAAGTAATGTGGAGGATCATAATTTTGTATTGACTGCAGTTTTGCTGTAGAAATGAGTCTAGTCTTTTCAACTGAACAGTTTATTTTTGATATTTAATATGAGCAAATAAAATCTGTTATTCTCTGTCTATGTGACATTGTATCCACCACTTCTTTATCTACCTTAATTGTCACATATCCCTCTCCGTATAAATTGTCACATATCCCTCTCTGTATAAATTGTCACATATCCCTCTCTGTATAAATTGTCACATATCCCTCTCCATATAAATTGTCACATTTCCCTCTCCGTATAAATTGTCACATATCCCTCTCTGTATAAATTGTCACATATCCCTCTCTATATAAATTGTCACATATCCCTCTCCATATAAATTGTCACATTTCCCTCTCCGTATAAATTGTCACATATCCCTCTCCGTATAAATTGTCACATATCCCTCTCTATAAATTGTCACATATCCCTCTCCATATAAATTGTCACATTTCCCTCTCCGTATAAATTGTCACATATCCCTCTCCGTATAAATTGTCACATATCCCTCTCTATAAATTGTCACATATCCCTCTCCATATAAATTGTCACATTTCCCTCTCCGTATAAATTGTCACATATCCCTCTCCGTATAAATTGTCACATATCCCTCTCTATAAATTGTCACATATCCCTCTCCATATAAATTGTCACATTTCCCTCTCCGTATAAATTGTCACATATCCCTCTCCGTATAAATTGTCACATATCCCTCTCTATAAATTGTCACATATCCCTCTCCATATAAATTGTCACATTTCCCTCTCCGTATAAATTGTCACATATCCCTCTCCATATAAATTGTCACATTTCCCTCTCCGTATAAATTGTCACATATCCCTCTCCGTATAAATTGTCACATTTCCCTCTCTATAAATTGTCACATATCCCTCTCCATATAAATTGTCACATTTCCCTCTCCGTATAAATTGTCACATATCCCTCTCCGTATAAATTGTCACATTTCCCTCTCTGTATAAATTGTCACATATCCCTCTCTGTATTAATTGTCACATATCCCTCTCCATATAAATTGTCACATTTCCCTCTCTGTATAAATTGTTACATATCCCTCTCCGTATTAATTGTCACATATCCCTCTCCATATAAATTGTCACATATCCCTCTCCGTATTAATTGTCACATATCCCTCTCCATATAAATTGTCACATTTCCCTCTCTGTATAAATTGTTACATATCCCTCTCCATATAAATTGTTACATATCCCTCAACGTATAAATTGTTACATATCCCTCTCCATATAAATTGTGACAGATATTCCCAGATGGTTTCTGATTTACAATCGCTGTTAGACTGAACTGGTAACTATATAAAGCATGATCTTGTTCCTTCAAACATGGCTGTTGTGCCATTCAATAAAATAGTTTGTTTACCAGTACTACAAAGAATGATATTATCTTTGCTTTCATGGAGCAAATACATGTACAAGGTCTGAAATGCATCTTTTTAACATTTATTATAGCTATAAAAAGATGCATTTTTCCCTTAAATGTTTGATACATTTGTACTGCCTTTTACATTTTCCACCTTCTGTGTTTATTTCCTCCTCTGTGTATGTTACATCATCTGTCTGTTCTCCACTCAATCTTTATTTCACTTTTCTGTATGTTACATCATCTGTCTGTTCTCCACTCAATCTTTATTTCACTTTTCTGTATGTTACACCATCTGTCTGTTCTCCACTCAATCTTTATTTCACTTTTCTGTATGTTACACCATCTGTCTGTTCTCCACTCAATCTTTATTTCACTTTTCTGTATGTTACACCATCTGTCTGTTCTCCACTCAATCTTTATTTCACTTTTCTGTATGTTACACCATCTGTCTGTTCTCCACTCAATCTTTATTTCACTTTTCTGTATGTTACACCATCTGTCTGTTCTCCACTCAATCTTTATTTCACTTTTCTGTATGTTACACCATCTGTCTGTTCTCCACTCAATCTTTATTTCACTTTTCTGTATGTTACACCATCTGTCTGTTCTCCACTCAATCTTTATTTCACTTTTCTGTATGTTACACCATCTGTCTGTTCTCCACTCAATCTTTATTTCACTTTTCTGTATGTAACACCATCTGTTTGTTCTCCACTCAATCTTTATTTCACTTTTCTGTATGTTACACCATCTGTCTGTTCTCCACTCAATCTTTATTTCACTTTTCTGTAGGTTACACCATCTGTGTGTTCTCCACTCAATCTCTATTCCACCCTCCTCTTGTTCTATCCTCTCTGTTCTATACAGCCTTTATCCGCCCACACTGTATGTTCTATCTTCTCTATAACAGGAAGACATGACAGACCTCCAGGCCAGCGAGGGTGAGTTCCAGTACAAAGGTCAAATTGAACCAGAGAAGGATCCTATGTTACTCCTTTTGTCTCGTCTACAACGACATCCCCCTGACCCGACACCGGTCAGCCTCCCAGCCGCTGGTCAGTACGACATGAGCTCCCAGCAGGTTTACGACCTCCTGAACCACACAGGGCTCAGTACTGGCGAGGTGTTCATGAATGGAGCATCAGTCCAGAGAAGTCAAGGGGAGGTAATCCGTGTTATGCAGACACAGCAAAGCGTAGGAGAGGTCCTGGAGAATGAGCAGCCAACCAGAGACTCTAACAGAGAGGCTGCACGATCTAGCTATGGTTTCACCCACTCTAATGGTGTTTCCCAATCTAATGGTTTTACCCACTCTAATGGTGTTTCCCAATCTAATGGTAAGGATCTTTCATATTGCTATATAAAAAGTATAGATGCACATTTAATTGTCATTTCAAATTTATACTGAAGGAATTTGATGTCTAACAGTATTGTACTGAATGGATAGATTGATTGTGTTTGAGCAAGACAAGAGAATGTCTTTAACCAAATGACAAAAGGATTTGGTTTACCTTCAGACTTGCCCATTAGAAATGGTTCTCCGATGCGGATGACAGACCTCAGGTCTCAGTCCATACAGGAGGAGTCCGAGCCAGAGCCCACACCCCGGGACGACTCCTACAAAGAGCATATGCATACAAGAAATGAGAGACCACAAGCTACACCCTCACAGGATGCCCGACCATCATCATCTCGGGGCCGACAGTCTCCAGGGATGAAGGGTAGTAGCACACCTGGCGGAGTATCCCTTGGAGCGGGCAGAATCTCACCAGGTAAGTCCTGTCACTGGGAGCGAGCAGAATCTCACCAGGTAAGTCCAGTTAATGGGGGAGCGGGCAGAATCTCACCAGGTAAGTCCTGTCACTGGGAGCGGGCAGAATCTTGTCAGGTAAGTCCAGTTAATGGGGGAGCGGGCAGAATCTCACCAGGTAAGTCCTGTCACTGGGAGCGGGCAGAATCTTGTCAGGTAAGTCCAGTTAATGGGGGAGCGGGCAGAATCTCACCAGGTAAGTCCTGTCACTGGGAGCGGGCAGAATCTTGTCAGGTAAGTCCAGTTAATGGGGGAGCGGGCAGAATCTCACCAGGTAAGTCCTGTCACTGGGAGCGGGCAGAATCTTGTCAGGTAAGTCCAGTTAATGGGGGAGCGGGCAGAATCTCACCAGGTAAGTCCTGTCACTGGGAGCGGGCAGAATCTTGTCAGGTAAGTCCAGTTAATGGGGGAGCGGGCAGAATCTCACCAGGTAAGTCCTGTCACTGGGAGCGGGCAGAATCTTGTCAGGTAAGTCCAGTTAATGGGGGAGAGGGCAGAATCTCACCAGGTAAGTCCTGTCACTGGGAGCGAGCAGAATGTTGTCAGGTAAGTCCAGTTAATGGGGGAGGGGGCAGGATCTCACCAGGTAAGTCCTGTCACTGGGAGCGAGCAAAATCTTGTCATGTAAGTCCAGTTAATGAGGGAGCGGGCAGAATCTCACCAGGTAAGTCCTGTCACTGGGAGCGGGCAGAATGTTGTCAGGTAAGTCCAGTTAATGGGGGTGGGGGCAGGATCTCACCTGATAAGTCCTGTCAGTGGGAGCGAGCAGAATGTTGTCAGGTAAGTCCAGTTAATGGGGGAGGGGGCAGGATCTCACCAGAAAAGTCCTGTCAGTGGGAGCGAGCAGAATCCTGTCATGTAAGTCCAGTTAATGGGGGAGCGGGCAGAATCTCACCAGGTAAGTCCTGTCACTGGGAGCGGGCAGAATGTTGTCAGGTAAGTCCAGTTAATGGGGGAGGGGGCAGGATCTCACCAGATAAGTCCTGTCAGTGGGAGCGAGCAGAATCTTGTCATGTAAGTCCAGTTAATGGGGGAGGGGGCAGAATCTCACCAGATAAGTCCTGTCAGTGGGAGCGAGCAGAATGTTGTCAGGTAAGTCCAGTTAATGGGGGAGGGGGGGTTCTCACCAGGTAAGTCCTGTCACTGGGAGCGGGCAGAATGTTGTCATGTAAGTCCAGTTAATGGGGGAGGGGGCAGGATCTCACCAGATAAGCCCCGTCAGTGGATGTGCGTGGATAATGACACCACTTTGTATTTTATCCCTGCTTGAAAATGTTGGGGAGAAGGTGACAGCTTTATATAATGTTCATATTGTTCATATGCATGAATCTGTTCATCTTAGATGATTTGTTTCTGAGCCAAAATTACATTTTCTGTTCATGAAATTTGACCAAACTTCATGTGCTGTAACATGTTTGGCACACTAAAACTTGGTCATGGTCACCTTTATTTCCACTCCACTGAGCATCCAGGAATATTATCTTGTTATGGATCATGGTTTTCTAAACAATTGAAAAGTAAAAGATATTTTTTCCCCAAGCCACTCTTTCCTTACATTTTCATGCAAGTTTACCAAACCTCATGTACTGTTACATCTAAGGGGGAATGTTTTCACATACTATAACAAGATCACAGTGACCTGTATTTTCAATGTCTATGAACAGGAAATGGAAAAGACACGTCTATTGATGATGATTTTTTGCACTTAAACTAGGTCAGTTAGTTCACTACTAGTGCCAGTATTAGCCGATTAGGATCTATTGGTCCAGTTCTTACTCCTGAACTCTGTATAGTTATGTTACAATACTACTCCCTCCCATACATCTATATAATATATATAGCCCTATACAATAATTATAATCTAAAATGCAATGTACCATGGCTCATCAGCATGTCGGCCTTTGTTACAATATGATTATCTTTGGAATATGAAAATAATGCTGTTTGTTCTTGAGGACCGGTATCTAATTTTCTTTATCATTTTTAGGAATGTGGATATGGGCCTGTGTTTATATATGGGTCAATGTTTAGATATGTGATGATGTTTATATATTGGCCGATGTTTAGATATTGGCCAATGTTTAGATATGGGCCAATATTTGGATATTGGCCGATGTTTAGATATTGGCCGATGTTTAGATATGGGCCGATGTTTAGATATGGGCCGATGATTAGATATGGGCCGTTGTTTAGATATGGGCCAGTGTTTAGATATGGGTCAATGTTTAGATATGGGTCAATGTTTAGATAGGGGCTGATGTTTTGATATGGGCCAGTGTTTAGATATATGGGCTGATGTTTAGATATAAAATGTCTTGAATTGCAGTTGCAGGTAGGGAAACACAACTCTTTCAAATTACTCTTAACTTATCTGTGTTTACAGGTAAACCAGCAATGAAGAAACCCCCGCCAGCGACCCCATCTTCTGGACTCCCTAACAAGACCATGTCCACCACAATTCCTCGAACAGTCCAAATCAGAGAATCGGATGAACAGGAAAACAGATATAGTATGTTTATAGAAGCTTGTTGTGATGTACATATATAGTATGTTTATAGAAGCTTGCTGTGATGTACAGATATAGTATATTTATAGAAGCTTGTTGTGATGTACATATATAGTATGTTTATAGAAGCTTGCTGTGATGTACAGATATAGTATATTTATAGAAGCTTGTTGTGACGTACAGATATAGTATGTTTAGAGAAGCTTGTTGTGATGTACAGATATAGTATGTTTATAGAAGCTTGTTGTGATGTGCCCTTATGCTTTGAAGTGTTTATTACATACCTTTATATCTATACTGACACCAGCATTTCCACCTCATATCAAAAAGTGCAATATCACCTGTGTGAAAGATATGGAGGATTGTATATAGCTCAACCAGGACTTCTTTTCAGTTGGAAATCATCAATGGTTTTTCAGGGATCATATTGATGAATTGAAACCAGAATGGGCTACAAAATTTGATATATGAGGTCATTATAAGATGTAGGTTTGTCTGCCATTGTTGCTCAGCTCTGAGTAACAATCTTTATGTTGATCTATTGTCACGACAGTTCTGCTGTACGTCCCTGCAAAAACACTACCAGAAGAAATTGCATTCACAAGGAAATTGAATCAGTGTCACTTAAGGTCATAGGAGTGAATTGATAAACGGAAGTAGGAAGTACATCCCCAGTTGAAAATCCAATGTAGGGAGACAGTATCTAATGTTTAATATTAAGCCGATGAATATTGTATGTTTATTATTGATGATGTCAGATTGTTCGAGGAATAATAATTGTAGTGAAAAAAAAGGCAATTCTATACCAAACTAGAAAATGTCTGTAAGACATAAATGCCCCCGCTCATGGACGGGACGGGACGGACATGGGCAACACTCTATGCCCCCCATTTTATGGCGGGGCACAATAACAGAGAACACTTATATTTTGACCAAAAAAAACAATACAATGTATATATATATTTAGAATATAGATATAGCTACTGAACAGTATTTTTGCAACATTTATGCTGTTATGAACACAAGCTGGTTACAAACAATATTTACCTTGAAGCTGACTTTTAGAGCGGGCTTTGATACTAAAAGATTATGGATTTTTTCAATAATGATAACATGCACATAAAAAACAATTGTGTGTAATAAAAATAGTACCTAACATATGGTCATCTGACATAACAGGTAACAGATGTTGATATACTGATATAAGTTGTGCTACATTGTATCTGCAACATCAGACAAACACATCACTTTTGTCCTTGCTCTGAAATGGAGCAGATACAAATAAATAATAATAATATACAACATTTGATATAGCGCCCTATCTATCTAGAATAAGCCACTCTAAAGCGCTTTACAGTACAAAGATATACAATTTATACAATCAATACAATTAGCATATATATTAATCAATACCATTTTGAGGAATTTGCAGGAGCTGCCTTATCAGGCACTAGCTACTAGTCCTATGCCACCTGGCTAATATCTCCTTATGTGTGTGTGTGCCTGCTTGTGTGCTGGAGATGTGTTGTGTAAACAGTAACCATACACAATTACTTCAAAAGAGCTTCTGTTTCGATCAAGATCAAGGTCACTGTTACTATAAATAGAAAATAGATGTCATTGCTCTATTGGTTGTGGTTTTCTTTTTATTTGGATGAAACTTCACACAAGTACCTCAAATAAGTTTCATGTTCTTGTATCCAAGGTCAAGGTCACAGGTGGTGGCATTCATTTTCTCAAGACAATTTCTAGCTTTTATTTCTATGAAAATGTACAAGTTTGGGTGAGGATTAGTTTGTATCTTTAATGTAAAAAAAATATTTGTAATCCCCATGTATATATTACACTCTCTGGTAATATTTACTGTGTGTTAAGGTTTTACTCCAGCTGTGAACACTTAACTTCGGTGGAATATTTTGTCAGTACATAATGATCCCCTTGTTTTTGTACAGGTCAGGAGGGAGGGACCACGATGAGTGACCAGGGAACCAGGACATTCACACCGGACCAGATGAACATGGACGACCTCATCAAGTCTGGTTACCTCACACAGAGTAGGTCGGGCGAGTTCGGCCAATCAGGTGGCATGTCTCAAAGCTTTGGCCAATCAGGGCGTTTATCTCAAAGCTACGATCAAGCAAGTGCTATGTCACAGAGTCTTGACAACAAGAATGACATGAGGGAATCCACAGATTCGTATGCTACCCGCCAAATTAACAGAGGGAAGTCACTGGGATTGACTTACTCCATGGAGGAAAGTTTGGCTGCCACCGACTCCCTTGATGAGTCAGAACTACGGCAACTTGCCACAACTGGCACGCTGAAAATGTCTGTACGCATGCCTGCTCTTGGAGACATGGAAGATGACAGTGAGCGGCAGTCAGAGTTTGAGATGACAGACACACTGTGATAGAGCTTGAAGGACACGTTTGTATGGCGACAGATCTGATTACATTCGGTATTACATGTAGCCATGAACAGCTAGCATTACATGTTTGTGTACCTAGGTCTGATATTTATTTATCATTTCATTCAATTTAAAAAAAAAAAAAAAAATAGAAAAGAATCAGTTTTGTAGTTATCTTTGTATTTATTTTAGACTATATTTTACCCAAATTATGTCATGATTTACATTATATTATACTTTAGATACATCATTGTTCCATATAAAGCCTTATGTTCTGTTCCACCAACAGAGAAAGGTTTTCTTGAGCTGTACATATAGCATGAATATTATAATGTTTTACATTCCGTCCAGCACTAGATTATTACCTATACACATGAGATATCTTGTACATATATACCCTGTAGAAAGGCAGTGTCAATTCTGTGGAAATAGGTCATCGATGGTCTCAAGTCTGTGGAACCTTGGTGATTCACACTTTTCAGTCAATGGAGCCTTAATATAATCCATGCGCTTAGGTCTGTTGATGGGGGGAGGGGTGATGGTCAGTGGGGACTTAATGTCTGATAGTTAACTATTTATAAAGTCCTTTTTGCAGATTTCGAAAAATTATGTGTTGTCTGGGGTAAACACATTATTTGACTTTCTACATTTGATTTTTTACATGAGGTTTCTGATTTCTGTCATTGTTCACTTTACAAAGGTCACAACTTTTCCAACAAATGAAAATTTACTCAAACTGCTTTGAAAGTTTTCTTCTTGAGTGAAATATGATGCATCTTATATAATAGAAATAAAATGAAAATGGAGGTGTACGATTATGTAATATGTTTCTCTTAATATTTTTGGAGCAAACAAAGAGTTTTGATTAACAGGTAATTAAAGAAGTTTTATATTTTTTTCAATAAATAAAATAAGTGTACAGTTCACACTATTGATATCTCTCTGTACAGAGCAAGTCTGTCTCGTGGTACTTTGTGTAACTTTAGAGTTATATAGCTGTCTATAAAACTGGTGCCAAGCTAAGAACATGTACCATAGCCTTAAAAGAAACATGACCAGGCAGTCATCTGTAAAAAACATTGTTTTGACTTTGGAGTTTTATTTTCTGACGGGGTTGAATATCTTTAATTGTACTAAAAAAACAAAGGAAGTAGGCAGGGAGTGTGTTTGTATATTTTGAATATATGATGTAAATTTATATGTGAAATAAAACTGATAGATGAGTATGGTGTTGTTTTTGTTGATCAGTTGAGGGAGTTGTCTCCCTTACGTCAATTTTTAATACTCGTGAATACTTACCTAATGAGTAGTATACATATATGTCATATTTCTAGAGCAGTCAGTGTAATGCATGCTAATCACGTAATGACAACTTAATGAATTCACACTGTAGTGTTGTTGTCCTATTAACGTACATGTTTATAATTAGATGTGTTATCACGTTTACAGTAAAATACACACCAGAACGTCATCATGTACGTATATGTTAGCTAGGATCACCTTTCCGACAATAGAAAACATGTTGTCCCCCGATCAATATATAGTACTCCCCCGCCTTAACGTGACACCTGCTTACTTCCCAGGTATGGTTAGCTTCATCAAAACTAACCGATATCATACCATGAAATATCTAATAATCAGGGACGTACCGTTACCATGGACTTATAGATAGCAATCCAATAGAAATAATAATCTAATTCCGTGCTGTTACTAAACATAGATTATCACACCATAATTGTTTGTCTCTGACCTAATGTATTGTTATAATTATTATTCAGAGACTTATCTTTATTATCTTGCATTGACTGTGACCTTATAGTGCATTACACCCCAGAAAAGGATAGTTTTACTTTATTAGCATTACTTTGATCCATCTTTTGTTAGACTGCATCGTATGAGCAATCCCAACAACAAAGTATACCCAGTATCTAGTTGGAGTTCACATTTGAAATAAACCCAGAGCATGTGGTAATGCCACGCTACTAAATATAAGTGTACATATAGCTAACATAGTAAGTAAGTATCCTATCTCGTCCCATCCGGTTATACATGTTAAACTTAAACATCACAAGTATGGATACTAGGAGCCTGACTGTAGCAGCCGTGCACTACACGGCGGACTTGGTAAACAGGTAATTATAGGGAACGCCTACTCTCCAGCACTGCACGTCTCGATAGAGTTAGTAAAGTCGTCACTGATATGATATTGACGTCTGTACTGTAACAGCTGATCTGTCTCGTCCACCTACATAAAGATGAAGGTCACACACGACGGTAACTGGGGTTGCATATTGGCTGCAGACCGGAACACAAATTGCTGCGGAATTTTCAAAGTTTATGTTTTACATGAAAAAATATCCCTTTGAGTAATATGATCTCCAGGCAACAGTCCTAGTGTTGAAATCTGCTTCACAATATCAGGAATTTACGGGGTTTATATTTTCATATAAAACAGGGGTTGTAGAATGTCCTTCTGAATGAGTAGAATTATGCTAATTCAGAGCACAGGGCCCTGAGAACTTGTTACAGCTATATCTGAACCTAAAATAAGGTGTTCAGAGTATTCTTACACTATTATGTGGTTTAGATCAATTTTCGGTAAAAATGCCACCCCTAATGATGATATAAACTCGTATATTATATCATCATTATATATCCGGGGTGGCATTCTTATATAAAGACCACCTGTATTTGTGTGGTTTTAATAGACAGGTATAGTGGTAAATCAGGCAGGCAATCAGAATCAAAGGGACAACACAAAATTAATAGTGGACAATTTAGATCGTAAAGAATTGCTCTAGTATTAGTTATTCTGCCGATAGAATAGTAAACGATTTGTGCGGCGTTATCTACATCAACCAATATGCCATGACCTTGTTTACGGTAATGCGTCTGTATACTATTTGAACATGATAACGTGTGCATGCTTATCACGATATCGGCTGTTTGATCGCACTATTATCCTGGTACCTGTTGACTGGTGGTCTGCAAGTACCAGCATCCAACGTCGATGTAACAATTAAGAAATTAACCCCAAACGACCAACCATCCATATGTCCCCATCATCATAACATCTATACCCTCACTAGTCCAACAATCTGCACGTGCCTACGTCATTATACTTAATATAGCCTCACTACCCACCCTTCACGTGTCTATGTCATTATACTAAAATATACCCTCACTACCAACCCTTCAAGTGCCTACGTCATTATACTAAAATAGACCCTCACTACCAACCCTTCACGTGCCTACGTCATTATACTAAAATTGACCCTCACTACCCACCCTTCAGGTGTCTACGTCATTAAACAAAATATACCCTCACTACCCACCCATCGCGTGTCTATGTCATTATATTAAAATTGACCCTCCCTACCCACCCTTCACGCTTCTACGTCATTAAACAAATTATATCCTCACTAGCCCCCCTTCACATGCCTACGTCATTATACTAAAATTGACCCTCACTACCCACCCTTCACGCTTCTACGTCATTAAACAAATTATATCCTCACTAGCCACCCTTCACATGCCTACGTCATTATACTAAAATAGACCCTCACTACCCACTCTTCACGTGTCTACGTCATTATACTAAAATATACCCTCACTACCCACCTTTCACGTGTCTACGTCATTATTCTAGAATATACCCTCTCTTCCCACCCTTCAAGTGCCTACGTCATTATACTAAAATATACCCTCACTACACACCCTTCACGTGTCTATGTCATTTGACTAGAATATACCCTCACTACCAACCCTTCAAGTGTCTACGTCATTATACTAGAATATACCCTCTCTTCCCACCCTTCACGTGTCTACGTCATTATACTAGAATATACTCTTTCTTGCCACCCTTCACGTGTCTACGTCATTTTACCATATCAAGACCCTCACTTCCCACCTCCACATGTCTTCGTCATTATACTAGAATATACCCTCACTACCCACCCTCCACGTGTCTTCGTCATTATACTAGAATATACCTTCGACGTGACTTCGTCATTATACTAGAATATACCCTCACTACCCACCCTTCAAGTGCCTACGTCATTATACTAAAATATACCCTCACTACCAGCCCTTCACGTGCCTACGTCATTATACTAAAATTGACCCTCACTACCAACCCTTCACGTGTCTACGTCATTAAACAAAATAGACCCTCACTACCCACCCATCACGTGTCTATGTCATTATACTAAAATAGACCCTCACTACCCACCCTTCACGTGTCTACGTCACTAAATAAAATATACCCTCACTAGCCACCCTCCACATGCCTACGTCATTATACTAAATAGACCCTCACTACCCACCCTTCACGTGTCTACGTCATTATACTAAAATATACCCTCACTAGCCTTCACGTGTCTACGTCATTATTCTAGAATATACCCTCTCTTCCCACCCTTCGCGTGTCTACTTCATTTTACCATATCAAGACCCTCACTTCCCACCCTCCACGTGTCTTCGTCATTATACTAGAATATACCCTCTCTTCCCACCCTTCACGTGTCTACGTCATTATACTAGAATATACCCTCTCTTCCCACCTCCACGTGTCTTCGTCATTATTCTAGAATATACCCTCTCTTCCCACCCTTCGCGTGTCTACGTCATTTTACCATATCAAGACCCTCTCTTCCCACCTCCGCGTGTCTTCGTCATTATACTAGAATATACCCTCTCTTCACACCCTTCACGTGTCTACGTCATTAAACTAGAATATACCATCTCTTCCCACCTCCACGTGTCTTCGTCATTATACTAGCATTTACCCTCTCTTCCCACCCTTCACTTGTCTACGTCATTATACTAGAATATACCCTCTCGTCCCACCTCCACGTGTCTTCGTCATTATACTAGAATATACCCTCACTACCAACCCTTCACGTGTCTACGTCATATTACTAGAATATACCCTCTCTTCCCACCTCCATGTGTCTACGTCATTATACTAGAATATACCCTCTCTTCCCTCCTCCATGTGTCTACGTCATTATACTAGAATATACCCTCTCGTCCCACCTCCACGTGTCTTCGTCATTATACTAGAATATACCCTCTCTTCCCACCTCCACGTGTCTTCGTCATTATACTAGCATTTACCCTCTCTTCCCACCCTTCACTTGTCTACGTCATTATACTAGAATATACCCTCTCGTCCCACCTCCACGTGTCTTCGTCATTATACTAGAATATACCCTCACTACCCACCATTCACGTGTCTACGTCATTATACTAGAATATACTCTCTCTTCCCACCTCCATGTGTCTACGTCATTATACTAGAATATACCCTCTCTTCCCACCTCCATGTGTCTACGTCATTATACTAGAATATACCCTCTCTTCCCACCTCCATGTGTCTACGTCATTATACTAGAATATACCCTCTCGTCCCACCTCCACGTGTCTTCGTCATTATACTAGCATTTACCCTCTCTTCCCCCCCTTCACTTGTCTACGTCATTATACTAGAATATACCCTCTCTTCCCACCTCCATGTGTCTACGTCATTATACTAGAATATACCCTCTCTTCCCACCTCCACGTTTCTTCGTCATTATACTAGAATATACCCTCTCTTCCCACCTCCACGTGTCTTCGTCATTATACTAGCATTTACCCTCTCTTCCCTCCCTTCACTTGTCTACGTCATTATACTAGAATATACCCTCTCGTCCCACCTCCACGTGTCTTCGTCATTATACTAGCATTTACCCTCTCTTCCCTCCCTTCACTTGTCTACGTCATTATACTAGAATATACCCTCTCTTCCCACCTCCACCTGTCTTCGTCATTATACTAAGATATACCCTCTCTTCCCACCTCCACGTGTCTACGTCATTATACTAGCATTTACCCTCACTACCCAACCTCCACCTGTCTTCGTCATTATACTAAAATATACCCTCTCTTCCCACCTCCACGTGTCTTCGTCATTATACTAGAATATTCCCTCACTACACACCCTCCACATGTCTTCGTCATTATTCTAGAATATACCCTCACTACCCACCCTCCACTTGTCTTCGTCATTATTCTAGAATATACCCTCCACGTGTCTTCGTCATTATACTAGAATGTATATATATCATGATAATAGAATATACCCTCGCTACCCGTCTTTACGTGTATACGGCATTATACTAAAATATACCCTCACTAACTGCCTTTTACGTGTCTACATCATTATCCAATCAAGG